TCTCCACCTGCGCTCAGCTGGCCCGCAGCCCAGTGTCTGCATACCCACGCCCTTCTCCCCAGCCCGGTTCATCTCCGGCTCTCCCGGGTCGCCCGGGAGGAGTAGGGCAGGGACCATCAGCCCAAAGGCCACCAACGGGAGCAGGGGGCGCCCTCCGGGACCCCGGCTCACCCTAGTGGGCGCCGCCTGCCCGCACACGCGTCTCCTGCCACCTGTGCTGCCGCGGTATTTATGAGTTTGCGCGTGCGGAGGCCTCCTGCCGCCCACCGCTGTCCCAGCCCCGGAAGAGCTCCCAGCCCCGGAAGAGCCGGCCGCCTCGGGGTGACGGGCTCCCCAGTCAGCCGGAGCCCCGGGTCCCACAGGTCCGGCCGGTCTTCGGTGCCCCACGCCCACTCGCCCGCCCCCCCAGGGCGGGGCACGGGAAGAGGGACCCAGGAAGGCTTAGTCCGCCGCCGCCGCCGCCACCTCCAAGCCGGCCATCAGGTGAGCGCGCCCGGACAGGTAAGGTTGTGCTCGGCCCCCAGGGGCCCCGCCCCGCAGCTGTAGAGCCCCTGGGGCACGGATATTGGCCCCCTTTCCTGCCCTGTGCAATCCTCGGATACCGGGTGTGCGGACACTGGGGGATCCCCATCCTTGCTCGTCTGCGTCTCATCCTCTTCCTCCCAATTTCTTCCGGCTTCCTCTGTCCCCAAGCTGATCCTATGGACTCCTCAACCCCCCTGGGCATCCTGAAAACACAAAATCAAAATCCCCGAATGACAGCGCGGCTTCTGAGCTGTGCGCCCTAGGCAGACTCTTGGCCTTTTCTGGACCTGGGGTTTGGTCGCCTGTGAAAAGTAGGTAATAGTACATACCCAGTGGGCTGTTGTGCGGATCAAACAAGTTTACGCGTGAAAGTTCACGCCGGGAACACGAGTCTGGCCCAGAGCAAGTGCTGGGTACGAACCAGCTGTTCCGTTTATTACTACCGAGGCATGAACACTCCAGAAACTGCCCTGGGTCCTGATGGGATCCTGTGGTAACAGCCTCTGTAAACTTCTGCAGGTTGTGTGAACGCGGGGAGTGGCTTGTCACAAATATGCTTGGAGGTTCCCCGGTTCCCTGGAGGGAGCAACAGGACCCGCCTGGGGTCCCCGATGGTCAATGATTCCCCCCCTTGCAATGAGCCCATGGTATGTAAACTCAGAGTGCATGGTTTCTGCCAGTTGGAGACAGGGATTTCAGAGACAGGCATGGGTGGCAGGGAGGATTCAAGATGAGCCTTTTGGGACAGCAGTTGGCATAATGGTTATATCACTGGACTTCCATGTAGTCAACTGCAGTTCAAGTCCTGAACCCAGGAGCTTTAAACTCCCGCTGGTTGCTGGCATGTGCATGCCCCAAATCCCAAGAGGAGAATGGAGGAGAAGGGATTGCGGCATGGCCATCCCCCTTTGGGGGGTGGGGAGATGTCTCGCTTTCTGTCTCTCTGTCTCTCTAGTGAGCACACGCACCCTATAGCAAAAATCTCCCTAAAAAATACAAAAAAAAGAGATGAGCCTTTTGTGCTGTTTGATCCCCCCATTTTCCAGAGCCCCCATTACAGCTTAAAATATAACAAAAGCAGCCCTCTTAGCCAACCCTTAATCCCTATGCCTGTGACTACCAATTACAACCTCCCTTTGTTTTTTATTTTTCCAGAGTTGGAGCTTCCTAACCTTTTTTTGTGTGTGTGTGAAGCCCTTCTCAGGATCACGTTTTATAGCCATAAAATAAATTCACAGAAGCACCAAGGAGACCCAGTGCTACTGAATTACCATATACAGATATTTTACAAGTATGCGATACAGTACTACATGTACTTCTTTATTAATTCATCAAACTTTAAGATCCAGAGGCAGGTCCCAAAAATAAGGTCATCCCAGTTTGATGAGCATATGGAAGAAGTTTGAGATTCCTACAATCCCTGCAATGGGATTTGAAATGTCTGTGGTTTCTTTTCCAGACAAAGCCTCATAACGGCTAATGGTCCTGCCCTGCTCGTGACCCAAAGTTGTGCTCAATTTCTACACTCTTTTTTTTTTTTTTTGAAAAAAAGAAGTATTTCTTTCTTTCCATTTGTTATTATTATATATATATATTTTTTTAATTTGACCAGACCGAGAGAGAGAAAAAGGGAAAGCAAGCCTTCAAGTCTGGGACTCGAACTCTGGTCAGCCATGTGGAAATCCAACACCTTTAACCACCACGTTACCTGCTGGCCCATCAAATTCTACACTCTTAAAAATTATTAAACTTTTGAGTCCTACAGGTGGCTTGGTGGCTAAGGCACTGGACTCCCACATGGCCAACCATGGTTTGGGTCCAGACCTGGCAGCTTGAAAATCACACTGGGCACATGTGCATGTGTGCCCAAAGTCTCAGGAGGAGAATGAAGGGACTGTGGCATAGCCATCTCCAGAGGGTGATTTCTCACTTTCCCTCCACTGTCTCTCTCCACAGAGTGCATGTACCCTATGACAAAAACCATTTTTTAAAAACTGAGCTTTTGTATACACGGGTTATGTGCTCTCTTAGAGGGAGATCTGGCTTTCCGGCTACCAGCCCAAAAATCCATACGGCGTTGTTCTGGGTTCCCGGTGTAACTTACAGGGAAACGTTCATGAAGTCCGGCGCCCTCGATGTCCTGCAGATGACGGAGGAGGATTCTCACGTTCCTTGCCGCAGGAACCCACTTAGGTGGCACCAACCTTGACTTCCCAATGGAGCAGTACATCTACAAAAGGAAAAGTGATCTCCATCGTACATCTGAAGAGGACCTGGGAGAAGCTTCAGCTGGCAGCTCGTGCCATTGTCGCCATTGCATTGAAAACTCTGCTGATGTCAGTGTCATATCTTCCAGAAACACTGGACAGAGGGCTGTGCTAAAGTTTGCTGTGGCACCTGGAGCCACTTCTATTGCTGGTCGCTTCACTCCTGGACCCTCCCCTAACCAGATCCAGGCAGCCTTCTGGGAGCTGCGTCTTCTGGTGGTCACTGATCCCAGGGCCGACCCCCAGCCCCTCACAGAGGCGTCTTATGTTAACCTACCTGCCATTGCCCTGTGCAACAGAGATTCTCCTCTGTGCTGTGTGGTCATTGCCATCCCATGTAACAGTAAGGGAGCTCATTCGGTAGGTCTGATGTGGTGGATGCTGGCCCGGGAAGTGCTGTGCATGCGTGGTACCTTCTCCCGTGAACACCCGTGGGAGGTCATGCCTGATCTCTACTTCTACAGAGATCCTGAAGAGATTGAAAAGGAGCAGCAGGCTGCAGCTGAAAAGGCTGTGACCCAGGAGGGATTTCAGGGTGAATGGACTGCTCCCGCTCCTGAGTTTACTGCTACTCAGCCTGAGGTCGCAGACTAGCCTGAAGGCGTCCAGGTGCCCTCGTGCCCATCCGGCAGTTCCCTACTGAAGACTGGAGGGCCCCGACTGGCACCGAAGACTGGT